CAGGATGTTGATATTTAGTCAGTAGCATATGCTGGGATCAAGGACTACTTTGTTTGTTAAAGTGAATGACTTTGACTTATATTCAAGGTCACAGGGGTCAAATTTGTTTAAAATCTTTAAACAACCTCTTCTGAATAACCATGGGTCCCAGGATGTTTATACTTTGCAAGTTGCATCCTGAGATGAAAGGCTATACAATGTGTTCAACATAATGACTTTGTTCGATTTTCAATCACAGGGGTGAAATGTTAAAAAAAAAATAACAGGGTCTTTTGAATGAATTTTAATCATAGATACTGATATTTTGCCAGTAGCTTTATTTTAGATCACTTTTAAGGTTACAAGTGTGAGTTTTATACCAGGTGAGCAATGCAGGCCCATTGGGCCTCTTGTATAGTCAGTGTAGGAGTTCAAAGGTCATATCATTCTGTTTAATTTTCCAGTTAGTAGCCACTGAAGGGTTAAACTTTTTTCTGAGACTTAATCGGTTGATGTATTATTACTAAATGATATATCACACATACTATTCTCAGTTCCATACGATAAAACTTATGCTGGTTCACATAAAGCATAGATAAAACCTAGGCTGGTTCACATAAAGCATAGATAAAACCTAGGCTGGTTCACATATATAAAGCATAGATAAAACCTAGGCTGGTTCACATAAAGCATAAGCCTGCTGTGTACCCCTGCATGACTGTATGCCAAGGCCACAGCCAGATGTCCACAGTTCCATTATTGCATTGCAGGTCTGCAGGTCAAATTCTCCAGAATTGGTTTATTTATATATATTTTTTATGAAACTTTAAATATGGATGCGACATGAAGTGACTATTTGCCACATACAACATAGAGGTTTGTACCCCACAGTTCACAGCCACAACAAGGGTCGGAGATTAACGATACTGCTGAACAGATGACCAAATTTGATTTGATAATGCATGAAAATATGTTGATAACATCTCTGGTCCATACTCTAAAGGCAAAGATCACATCAAGATCATGTCCTTACAATGCATATCAGGACTTTAAACTTTGGATAAAAATGATCATTCTTTTTTATATGATACATAAATGTAACTTAACTACCGTGCACATTGTGTCACATACCATGCTATGTACCCAAAGGTCAAGGTTACACCAAAAGGTTAAAGGTCAATGAAAACCATTAATAATTTACCCAACAACTTTGGGGATGGCTGAACATCATCTATTAAAAGTAAAGATAATTATATATCAAACTTCATAGGTAGTAGGGGATAGCTAGTGCTAGTTGGTACTTCAGCATGCATGTTTTAACATTTTTTTGGCATGTGTTTATTTGGAGGGTGTTGAGGCATGGTTGATTTAAAATGTACACCAGCCAGCATGTCTGTATCTTGATAGACAATATAACAAGCCGTAGAACTCGGAGCTACATATGTGTTTAGTCTGTTTGTTGGTGAGACAGAGGTTTATTTCTCTAAGTCAGTAGTATCCTGGCTCAACTGTACTACAGTTATGAAAAGTTCTTTTACACAACTAATAAGAGTTTCTATGTCAATGTGACGTTTCGATGACTAGTACGGTATGTACACTGTCACCTTCATCAGACAAATGACCAGTGAAGCGTATGCACACAAAGTTGTGAAATGTGTACGAGTTGTCCACAAAATCTATGTTGGTTCAGCTACGCTGTAAGCGTATGTACAATAGTTGTTATAAATGTACCGAAATGACTCGATTCAGCTACGCTTTGTTTAATACTTGGTCATAGATGTGCATATGCTTTACTGGTCATTTGTCTGATGAAGGTGACAGTGTACATACTGTTCTAGTCATCGAAATGTCACATAGAAACTATTATTGGTTGTGTCAAAAGAACTTTTCATAATCCATACTTACCAACCCAAAGAAAATGTTTAGAAATGTACTACAGTTATGTCAAAAGCGAAATTAAGGGGAGGTTACTGTAAGTAAGAAAATTTACAGTGCAGTAGGACCTTTAAATATTTGTTTTTAACATATTACATTACCTTACGGCCTAGGAGAATAGTACAGTATCTGTCTATGGGCTACCTCTATGAATTGTACAATATTGTAAGAAGTGGTAATGTTACATGTACTAATTTGTTTAACTTATTCATATTTACAGGTTCATTCACTAAATACTACCTTTATACTTGTTGTAAAAGTTATGTCCCATGGGCTGAAAGTAATTTTTGTTTTATGAAATAAATAGGGCAATGCTTAAAATCATTTCAGTCAGAAACTGCCTAAAACTATTTTTCTTTACAGGAATTCTGGTGAATGTAGAAATTTGTTAAAATTCTTTTTATAAATAATATTACAATATGGGAAAATTTATTTTTAGTTTCTTCAGAAATGTTTTTGCTAAATAGGAAAACTGAGTCACTGTCTAGGCACAGGTATATCGGGGGTTAATGAGGCAAAAAGAGTTTTCATGACAAATTATATGCAATTTATTTATTTGGAATATCGTATGGAGTTTTTTAATTGATTAATAAAGCAAAGAAACAAATGAAAAAAGAAACATGTTACCTACCTTCAAGAATGACTTGTTTGCCATGTGAAGATTGCTGAGATTTGTATTGACTCAGAAATGTGACCAAGTGTTACCTTTGGTATTATCATTGCAGATTTAAAGATGGCTGAGGAAATTGTATCTCAGCTTGGTTCAATCATGGAGGATGATAAGACGGCAAAACTACAGAAGTAGGTAGTCTGCAAATTGAAGATTTGTGGTTTTTTGTAATGTTTGGATCTAACATTTTTGTGATAATAAGTGGTGTACTTTTAACAGCAATTTTCTTTTTAAGGATAACTGAAACACGGCCAAAAACTGAAACTATGGATTCAAGATATATTTTTCTTGCATGACTTCAGCTTTGAAAAATCATTTCTTAAAGAATTTTTTTATCTTGTAGAACTTTTCTGGGGAAAAAATAGAAATGAATAAATGTAAAAAATCAGTGTGGCCAGACCAGGATTCAAACCAAACCCTCAGATTTTTTACTATCATCCTAACCGATATGCCACATGGTCCACGAATGTCCCAATCTCATTAAAATCAGATGTTAATAAAAATACCTCCGGCTATTAATGTTCTTACGGTCACAATATTGAACAGCTGTATTTATTCAGAATGCGAATGTCCGTGATTGATGGTGGTACATTTATATCCAAAATGAAATTGGGAGACTTTATATACTTAAACCCACAGTACAGTGGGACAGGGATCTTTAATACAAATTATGTTTTGTACAAATTGAAGTCTGGAAAAAGTAAAAGAGATTAGATTTAAGCTTTCTAGAACCATTGCTGTTTCTGCATTATATACCTGTATGACATGTTTTCAGACTGATTAGTTTGTATGTAACCATTGTTCTGTAGGCAGGTGTCTGAGTTTGTATGTAACCATTGATCTGTAGGCAGGTGTCTGAGTTTGTATGTAACTGTTGATCTGTAGGCAGGTGTTTGAGTTTGTATGTAACCATTGATCTGTAGGCAGGTGTCTGAGTTTGTATGTAACCATTGATCTGTAGGCAGGTGTCTGAGTTTGTACGTAACCATTGATCTGTAGGCAGGTGTCTGAGTTTGTACTTAACCATTGATCTGTAGGCAGGTGTCTGAGTTTGTATGTAACCATTGTTCTGTAGGCAGGTGTTTGAGTTTGTATGTAACCATTGATCTGTAGGCAGGTGTCTGAGTTTGTACTTAACCATTGATCTCTAGGCAGGTGTCTGAGTTTGTACCTAACCATTGATCTGTAGGCAGGTGTCTGAGTTTGTACTTAACCATTGATCTGTAGGCAGGTGTCTGAGTTTGAATGTAACCATTGATCTGTAGGCAGGTGTCTGAGTTTGAATGTAACCATTGTTCTGTAGGCAGGTGTCTGTGATATCTAGTCGACTAAGGACCATGTCTGGAGGTTCCCAGGACTTAGACGGTGATGTGCCTCGAGCGGTAACACCAGTATCATGGAAAGGCTCCCAGCCAAAGTTCCCTACATCACCCGTATTGATGCGACAAAAATCTGAGCATCCTGTTTCCAAAGAGGAGAAAGAGGCTGAAAATCTCAAACGTCAAGTACAGGAAAAGAAGAAAGAGGACAAACTAATCCAGGCAGAGAGCGTAGAAACAGGAACGGTAAGTTATATTGTTTATAGCACTGTGTTAGTAACCAAGTCATCTAGTAGCGGGATTATTGACATCAAATGTTAAAACGATGTATATTTATAAACGCCCGTCAAATTTGACGGAAGTATTATGGTATGGGGTTGGCCGTCCGGCGTAATTTTGTGTTTGTCCAGCAATCTCCTCCTACATTTTTCGACCGATCTCTTTGAAACTTGGTATACATTATAATCATTATATGAAGTTGTGTCTCCCTTAAAAGAATTTTTATTCGACAATTTTTCAAAAGTTATTGCCCTTTGTTCATTTCAGTATTTGATTTTTTGTCCGGAGATCTTCTCCTACATTTTGCATTGGATTTTTTTGAAACATAGTAGGCTAAATAATCATGATATGTTGTGCTTCCTTGAAAAGAATTTTGATNTACTATAGACTCAGGTGACCGTTAAGGCCCATGGGCCTCTTGTTGCAAAAGTTCTTGCCCTTCGTTCTTTTCCGTATTTGATTTTTTGTCCAGAGATTTTCTCCTACATTTTTTTTAGCATGTCGGCTAACCACTCTTAGAATAATGCAGATCTTATTTCAATGTAAGAAAGTATATAATGCTATATGGCATTCGACGGGCGTATATTGTTCCGCCCCGCGGTACTCTTGTTGTGGATGATTTGTGAGAGAAAAAAAATTGAAAATTTGAACTCGTCTGCTATTAGACTAATGAAAATATGTTTATGAGGATACTCTTAGGAAGTGTTTCATTTGTATGTTATGAGCCTTATTTCAAACTTTTTTTTTATAAATGAACAAATATCAGTGGAATGCAATAATGGCCTGCAACCAGTACTGTGTAAGGTGCTAGTTTGAAGGTAAGGATGTAGATGCCTTGCTAAGACTTGTGGTAGTTATCTTGCATCCTTTTTAACTCCTTCCCTGATTAGGTTTTTATTTTATGACAGCAAAGGTGTATTATCTTTGTAGAAAGTGTAAATCGGTTAATTGGTTAAAAAGGTATTTTATTATGTAACACAGGTGAAGATGACCGTGTTTCTGTCCTACCTGAAGTCTGTGGGACCAATCCTCAGCTGCATCATCATCTTGTTTTACATATTGTACAATATAGCCAGTGTCTACTCCAATATCTGGCTCAGCGAGTGGAGCAACGACGAGGCGGCCACCGTTAACGGCACGGTAGACACTGCTCAACGCGACTTGCGTCTTGGTGTATATGGTGCACTTGGCCTTGTACAAGGTAGTGTTGTTTTTATTTCACATGTCCTGAATGTATCTCTCAAACTTCGTTTCAATTTATTTTATATTTCATATTCAAACATATAACACTAAGATGCGGACAACCCATACTTTAGTGATAACTTCCTGATGTGGGGAGTTAAACCTGTGCCTCCTAGCACACTGAAGTTAAAACACTTTCTAACAATTCAGACCCTTCAGCTGACAGGGGTTGGTTTGTTACTGGTTCAATACACAGAAAATAAATGTTGTGTTCCAGTAGGATGTTGTAAGGTTTGAGCTATTGAAGGTAGCTTCTGTTTAAACTATTACAAGGTATGGGGGGGGGGGGGGGGGGGGGGGGGTAATTACATTTACATTTTCGTTCTACAATCTCTAAATAATGATGTTATAAATGTAACAAAGCTTAGCATTTATGCTGCAGTGTTTTCCAAACTGTTACACTCTTTCTGTTGGGGACAAATGATGTCCTGATGTCAACTTTAGATTTTGATGGAGATTCTAAATGGATTCTGACTAAAGATTTACATCTGACAGAAACAGTAATGATAAAAATGTGAGCTCTTTCCCACATAAACAGCTGTTGTTTCAAATGTAAATATAAGAATTTATTACCTGTATAATGTATACATACAATCAACATATTACTTTATTACCTGTATAATGTATACACACAATCAACATAGGAATGTATTAACTGTATAATGTATACATACAAGCAACATATTACTTTATTACCTGTATAACGTATAGATACAATCAACATAGGAATTGAGTACCTGTATAATGTATACACACAATCGACATAGGAATGTATTACCTGTTTAATGTATACACACAATCAATATAGGAATGTATTACCTGTATAATGTATTCATACAATCAACATATGAATTTATTACCTGTATGATGTATACACACAATCAACATAGGAATTCATTACCTGTATAATGTATATATACAATCAACATAGGAATTGAGTACCTGTATAATGTATACACACAATCGACATAGGAATGTATTACCTGTTTAATGTATACACACAATCAACATAGGAATGTAGTATCTGTTTAATGTATACACACAATCAATATAGGAATGTATTACCTGTTTAATGTATACACACAATCAATATAGGAATGTATTACCTGTTTAATGTATACACACAATCAACATAGGAATTGAGTACCTGTATAATGTATACACACAATCAACATAGGAATTCATTACCTGTATAATGTATACATACATTCAACATACGAACTTATTACCTGTATAATGTATTCATACAATCAACATATGAATTTATTACCTGTATAATGTATACACACAATCAACATAGGAATTTATTACCTGTATAATGTATACATACAATCACCATAGGAATTGATTACAAGTATAATATATACATACAATCAACATAGGAATTTATTACCTGTATAATGTATACACGCAATCAACATAGGAATGTATTACCTGTATAATGTATACATACATTCAACATAGGAATTTATTACCTGTATAATATATACATACAATCAACATAGGAATGTATTACCTGTATAATGTATACATACAATCAACATAGGAATTTATTACCTGTATAATATATACATACAATCAACATAGGAATTTATTACCTGTATAATGTATACATACAATCAACATAGGAATTTATTACCTGTATAATGTATAATTACAATCAACATAAGCATTTATTACCTGTATAATATATACATACAATCAACATATGAATTTATTACCTGTATAATGTATACATACAATCAACATAGGAATTGATTACCTGTATAATGTATAGTTACAATCAACATAAGCATTTATTACATGTATAATGTATACACACAATCAAAATAGGAATGTATTACCTGTATATTATATACATACAATCAACAAAGGAATTTATTACCTGAATAATGTATACATACAGTCAACATAGGAATTTATTATCTGTATAATGTATACGTACAATCAAAATAGGAATTGATTACCTGTATAATGTATACATACAATCAACATAGGAATTTAGTCATATTGCTTCTGTAACAGTATTCAAAGATATTGATTGATCAGATAGAAATTTATTTAATGATTAACTTCATAACATGATTTGTTTTCAGTTTTGATACTTATTTTTCAGGAAAGATGCCTTGTTTGTGATCAAATGTTCCATTGATTGTTTAAGTTATATATTTGTACAATATGTTTGTTGGATGTGCTGTTGAAGATTTTCCCTGTGTAATACTGGTATTACCCTTGTACGTTTACAGGTACAGTCATTGTGTTTGCTAGTCTCTGCCTGTACTTAGGTAATGTCATGGCTGGTCGCCACCTACATGCAGGTATGCTGAAAAATATTATGGCCTCCCCAATGGAGTTTTTTGATACCACACCCCTAGGCAGGATGGTTAATCGATTCAGCAAAGATATTGACGTCCTGGATGTGACCATACCGCGGACATTTGAGGCTTGGTTGGCGTGTCTGCTACGTGTGCTGTCTGTACCTGTTGTCATTGGTTACAGCACACCCCTGTTTCTTACTGTGCTCATTCCCCTCGGATTATTATATTTTGTTATACAGGTGCGCTGACATTTTCTTGCAGTTGTGTGCATGAGATTGGCTGAGTTGTTTTGACCTCCTGCATCATACATGTTTTGAGCCATTCTTTAGAAGTAGTGCAATATGTTTTTTCTTTAGAGAATAATATCTTACTGCTTTCCATGCAACATATCCTTCTACTAAATTACAAAGGTGCAAACATGAATGGAAAATGGGAAAACAATTTGTCTAACATTCTAACTTTGAAAAATTATTGTACAATTTATTTGTTACAAAAGCACTTTCCCTTTAACAGTTTGGAAACATAAAGTTTGGCTTCTATGCATGGGTGATAGCATCAATTAATGTTGTACAGTATATTTCACTGATTGTCACATTGTTTTGTGTCACTTTTCGCTAAATATCACGTTTCCTTAAAACAACTTTTCTCTACTTTATAATCTGTGTAATGTCACGTTTTGAAGTAACTAATTTGTGTAATGTCACGTTTTGAAGTAACCTCCACTTAATATCACTACATTTTAAGTGTCACCAAAATAAAACTAAGAAAATGACCAACATTGATCACACCTGATTCCCTTTCAAATAAGTAATTGCCATTTACTTACAGAGGGTTAAGGCGTCTTACATTCTGCTACCACTAGCCCTCAACCACTGGGTCGTGGGACCCATGTAAGGGCAGTCCCCAGCTACTGGCTGTAGGTCGGTGGTTTTTCTCTGGAAACTCTGGCTTTCTCACCACCAAAACCTGTCACGTCCCTAAATGACCATAGCTGTAAATTGGACGTAAAAAACAAACAAAACCAAATCAGCTGAAATCCCCATGTCTGAGTAGACTTGCGTCATTGTTAAATTATTAGTAACTCGCCCAGATATGAGATAATCTAATGAGGATATTTCTGTATGAAATAGTTGGAGACTGAACACACATTCTTGAGATTTTCGCTAACAAGAGTATCTATGTAAACGTAATGGTATTTATTCTTATAAATTAATTATTTATTTTAGAACTAATATTTCACATTATCGAATAATGAAGGCAGGACCTCACTGTTTAATCTTAAAATAGTACAGTCCTGGGAATTACCATGTGCCCATAAATCTAGGTGTTAATGCCATTATTTAAAATTGTATTTTAAAGTAATGAAAAATGTCAGATGTAAACCTAAATTTCTGAAGGTAAACAGTGTGTACATCTCTGGTTAAATTTAAGTTTTATACCCAAAATAACCAGTACCTGCTCAAGGCCTTTGACCTGTCGTTATAAAATGAAGAAAATTACATCTAGGGAAGTTTCTTTTATTAAATAAATTCAACTGCCAAAGCCTCATTACCTCTGGACATCATTGGGTCATTTAAGGTTTTGATACTAAAAAATGACCGACAAACAGCTTATCTTACATTTTCCTGTTTTGCTCAATATGGTGTTTTTCTCTGACAAACAACAAGAGATATGAAGTGGAATGTACTGTACTTCTGTATCACACTTGACCTACAGGTGTATAACTTCCCACACCTAACACTCATGATCCTCCAGTCATACTTCATTTCATCAAGACAAATATACCTGACCATCCAGCAATACATTATTTCATCAAGGGAAACATTCTTCAATTTCTAGGTACACTATATTTCATCAAGGGAAACATTCTTCAACTTCTAGGTACACTATATTTCACCAAGGGAAACATTCTTCAACTTCTAGGTACACATTATTTCACCAAGGGAAACATTCTTCAACTTCTAGGTACACTATATTTCATCAAGAAAAACGTTCATATTCAACTAGGATGGTATGCATGGTTTCACCTTAGATAATGTAGTACAGGCTATTAGCCATCCACCCGTCCACCTGTCTTTTTGACAGGCAGTTTTCTGAAAGGGACCTATTTTGACAGGAAACTTTCCACTATATAACCTTACTATTTTATATCAATTTTGATAGGCAGTTTTGTAAAACCAGTTACAATTTCAATGTTTTTGACAGAGACATTTGAAATCCTGGCTAAAAGCCTGCTGTAGTTTCAATTTCTGCACAACCTGTCTCTACAAAATGTTCCTTAAATACCTGTTACTATGTTACCTGTTTCTGACACACCTGTTTCTATGTTACCTGTTTCTATGTTACCTGTTTCTGACACACCTGTTTCTATGTTTCCTGTTTCTGACACACCTGTTTCTGTGTTACCTGTTTCTGACACACACCTGTTTCTGACACACACCTGTTTCTATGTTACCTGTTTCTGACATACCTGTTTCTGTGTTACCTGTTTCTGAGACACCTGTTTCTGTGTTACCTGTTTCTGACTCACCTGTTTCTGTGTTACCTGTTTCTGACACGCCTGTTTCTGTGTTACCTGTTTCTGACACACACCTGTTTCTATGTTACCTGTTTCTGACACCCCTGTTTCTGACACACACCTGTTTCTATGTTACCTGTTTCTGACACCCCTGTTTCTATGTTACCTGTTTCTGACACACTTGTTTCTATGTTACCTGTTTCTGACACACCTGATTCTGACACACCTGTTTCTATGTTACCTGTTTCTGACATACCTGTTTCTGTGTTACCTGTTTCTGAGACACCTGTTTCTGTGTTACCTGTTTCTGACTCACCTGTTTCTGTGTTACCTGTTTCTGACACGCCTGTTTCTGTGTTACCTGTTTCTGACACACCTGTTTCTAACACACCTGTTTCTATGTTACCTGTTTCTGACACACTTGTTTCTATGTTACCTGTTTCTGACACACCTGTTTCTATGTTATCTGTTTCTGACACACCTGTTTCTATGTTACCTGTTTATGACACACCTGTTTCTGTGTTACCTGTTTCTGACACCTGTTTCTGTGTTACCTGTTTCTGACTCACCTGTTTCTGTGTTACCTGTTTCTGACACCCCTGTTTCTGTGTTACCTGTTTCTGACACCTGTTTCTGTGTTACCTGTTTCTGACTCACCTGTTTCTGTGTTACCTGTTTCTGACACCTGTTTCTGTGTTACCTGTTTCTGACACGCCTGTTTCTGTGTTACCTGTTTCTGACACACCTGCTTCTATGTTACCTGTTTCTGACACACCTGTTTCTATGATACATGTTTCTGACACACCTGTTTCTGACACACCTGTTTCCGTGTTACCTGTTTCTGACACACCTGTTTCTAACACACCTGTTTCTATGCTACCTGTTTCTGACATACCTGTTTCTGTGTTACCTGTTTCTGAGACACCTGTTTCTGTGTTACCTGTTTCTGACACCTGTTTCTGTGTTACCTGTTTCTGACTCACCTGTTTCTGTGTTACCTGTTTCTGACACACACCTGTTTCTATGTTACCTGTTTTTGACACACCTGTTTCTGTGTTACCTGTTTCTGACACACCTGTTTCTATGTTACCTGTTTCTGACACACCTGTTTCTGTGTTACCTGTTTCTGACACACCTGTTTCTGTGTTACCTGTTTCTTACCCACCTGTTTCTGTGTTACCTGTTTCTGACACACCTGTTTCTATGTTACCTGTTTCTGACACAATTGTTTTCATGGTATCTCTTTTTCAGGATTCTCTGTCTGTTGTTGAACAGGTCAGGATCAGTGGTACTGGTACTAGACTCTTGTCTACAGCTGTTCTTTATTATAGGCTTCCAGAAATGAATTTGATAGATGGATGGTGGTTAGAATGACAGATTTGGTTACAGCAGAATTGGTTGACAACTTATATGAATTTACAGGGATACAGGGAAAGTGATAGTTGTACATGGATACTGTTAATATCTGTTTACAGGAACAACATTTATCTCGGTTACTGGGATAACGGTATTTTTGTTTCATAGGAATGAGTTTTCTTCCTGACACAGGAGTAATTGTTAATGGAAATTAGATAATATTAGGCTAGTTCCTAATGATTGATAGGTTGCATGGATAATAAGCACTATCACATGTTTGAATTCTGTCTGACATTTTGTTTGAAGTGAAATGGTTGTTGATGAAAGCAATGAGATTTTCCTTTGTTACAGGTATCATGGTAGTTAGTGGCAGTTTAGGGTTATATGTAGGCAGTGTCATTTGTGGACGTACCTTCCATGCCAGGATACTGGGTAACATAATGGCATCACCGATGCAGTTCTTTGACACAACACCTCTGGGTCGCATCATGAATCGCTTCAGCAAAGATATTGACACAATGGACACCTTGATCCCTCGTATCTGTGAAAGCTGGCTCCACTGTCTACTGCGTGTGGTGGCCGTACCGGTCATCATTGCCTACAGCACTCCTCTTTTTCTCTCTGTTCTGCGTCCTCTAGGGATTCTCTATTTTGTTGTACAGGTGAAGTAAAAACAGATTCATGTGCTCTGATGATTGTTTATTGATTTCTTTTTCTGATATTCTATTTCTGTTTTGTTTCAGTTCTGTTTTTGTTGTAAGACTGTTTAATGTGTATGCTTTGTTAACTTGACAGCGCCTTGTCCTATGGATGGCTTTTTAACACAAGCCTGCCTATGATTTGCTGATGTTGCCATTCACATGTTTGTTTCACAGGTATGTTTGTAGTGTGTGCCAATCTGGCCCTGTACATGGGGAAATATCAAAGCTTGGAGAAGCTTACACTTGTCTCTGCTTGGAAATATATTACGGTTATCAATGGATTTCTTCGATACCATTCCGATTAGACGGATGTTAACCAGGTTTAGTAAGGAGTGAGAAGTGATTGATTCTGAAGTATTGATCAACTGCTCCTGTTTGCTTCTGTTGGTGCCTGTCATCATTGGTTACAGCACACCAGAATTTCTCATCGTCGTCCTTCCCCTGGCCTTGGTTTACATAATTGCACAGGTGACATACCGTAGTCGCCAGACACCCTTTCACTAGGATCATGCCAACCTCACTCTCAAAGTTTTTCTTTTTCACTTTGTACAAAGCTAGATTTGGTTCCAGGTTGGGATCATTCTATCTGTAACTTAGTACATGTATAATTAGAAATTTCCTAAATGTGCTCCGATTCTTCCTGTATTTATAATGTTTGTTATGGGTGTATATCTGCCTGTAGGTTCAGAGGTACCTTATGGTGGGGTAGTTTATACTTGTACCAGTCATTGAAGTTTCTATGTATTTATCATTGGGTACTTGTATGTCTCCAGCTTTCACACAAAGTGCTGACCTTAAATAGAAACATGATCAGACAGGACACAGACAAATGACCACCATTAACATCGCCATTTGTTAAAAAATCTGCAACATGTTTCATTTCACATTTCAGGGATAACAATTTATATACAGGCCAGTTTGTTGTATTATGGTGGAATTAAGGCAGGAAGAGTGCTACATAGAGATATGCTGAGAAATATCTTATCTGCACCAATGCTGTTTTTTGACACAACACCTTCAGGTCGCATACTGAACCGGTTTGGGAAAGATATAGATGCAGTAGATAAGACCATCGTTGAGAATCTTCGTTCGTGGATTGGTTGTTTGCTTAAAGTATTTACCATCCCTGTCATCGTGGGCTTCAGTACTCCCATGTTCCTGGTCATCTTGCCACCTGCGGCAGTCCTTTTCATCGTAATTCAGGTTATTGGTTTTTTTCCTTTTCAGAACCTTAATGTCTAACATTTGTTGTCATAACCACCCATAATCACACTTTTTGTCGAAGTTATTCTATGCCTTAAACTTTCATATACTGTATAGTTGCCACTTATCACTGGATACTACATTTTGCTGTAATTATAGTCCAGGAAATGACCACTCTTTCTTTTGCTATCGCGTGAAAAGTACTTTCATTACAATGATGATACACATTTGATTTGCGCTTGCACTGGGGGTCTTGCACAAAATGTATTTCATACCAATTCAGTCATTTAGACATTATAACAACTAATAATGTGTTACTATTAATGTCTAACATTTTGACATTAAAAGTAACATTTATAGTAATTAATAGTCAATGGTTGATGATAGCAATGATATCTTGTTCGAAGTGAAATGGTTGTTGATAGCAATGACATCTTGTTTGAAGTGAAAATGGTTGTTGACGATAGCAATGAGATTTTCCTTTGTCACAGCTGGTATCATGGTAGTTAGTGTCAGTTTAGGGTTATATGTAGGCAGTGTTATTTGTGGACGTACCTTCCATGCCAGGATACTGGGTAACATAATGGCATCACCGATGCAGTTCTTTGACACAACACCTCTGGGTCGCATTATGAATCACTTCAGCAAAGATATTGACACAATGGACACCTTGATCCCTCGTATCTGTGAAAGCTGGCTGCACTGTCTACTGCGTGTGGTGGCCGTACCGGTCATCATTGCCTACAGCACTCCTCTTTTTCTCTCCGTTCTGCTTCCTCTAGGGATTCTCTATTTTGTTGTACAGGTGAAGTAAAAACAGATTCATGTGCTCTGATGATTGTTTATTGATTTCTTTTTCTGTTCT